AGTCACTCATTAGCACTTGTTGCAAGTCTTCATCCTGTGACCAAGGACTGGCCTTTCCAACTATTTTCCTATCTGCTCCAATGCGAGGGAACAGCTGCAGCCATGGCAGAGAAGGGTGAAGCCAGTAAACGAGGCTTTGCTGAAAGGCACAACGCAGTTCTGTCGACAGCTTTGGTTCCTAGGTGTCAAAAAGTATTTGGTGAGGACAGTAATACTTCACTTCAGGCAGTGTTGCAAGTGAAGGATTAAAGAAATATTACATCAGATAGTAAAACAGAAAAATCCTGGGCTTGTGAATAAGGCAAACTGAAGAAAGATGGACAGCAACTGGCAGCTGCTCCACAGTTTAAGATTTACCTTAATCTCTAAGTGGTCATTCAAGACCAGCCACCACTGCTTGCTGCTGTAGGTACAAACCATGGATGCAATCAGGTTAGTAAGTAGGCCTTATTCTTAATGTAAGATGAAAATAAAACAGAATCAAGCCTTCGCTGCCAGGACATTTACAGAAAGGTGCAAAGGTACAGTCTTCTTTATAAAGCTGGAGCTTCAAGCTACCCTCTTATGTATTACCTGTAAGTTCTGTGGCAAGTTTGTTTCTATAGCTCTACAATGCTGAGCAAATCCTTGAGCTTCCTCTTGTGCTTTTAAGTGTTCTGTCCAGGTAAAAGGTTGTGAAGACATAAATAGAAGTCGCGTTTTGATACTCCAGTCTGCAGGAAATTCATGTTTTGGTGAGGAGGGGACTTCGGGTACAGCAGCAGGTGAATGAAGGTCCTTATAAAACAGAAATAACACCAGTTAACCCCTAGAAAACAAACAAAAAGCTAAAAATGAACAACCACCACCAAACAAAAAACCAACCTATGTAGCTATCTATTTATATTTTAGCATTGTTAGGTCTCCTCCCTTGTGAATTTAATATACCTTTGCTGGCAGGCAGACCAGACACAGGACTGCAGCTATCACATGGAACACCTTCGGTTTAGTAGCCTATAAAAAGACAAGTTAAACGTGCCGTGTCCTGTTTTTGTCCAATTCAGTGCACAGCAGGTACCCTAGACTGGTCTGTAAGGGACATTAAAGATCATTTAGTTCCAACCCCCTGCCACGGGCAAGGACACCTTCCACAAGACCAGCTTGCTCAAAGTCCCATCCAGCCTGGCCTTGAACACTGCCAGGGATGGGGCAGTCACAGCTTCCAAATGCCTAACTCCTTTTGTTCCTAAGGAAATATTTACCTTAATTTAAGACACATACTTGAAACAAAAACGCTTTTTCAGACAGGATTTCTAAGTTACTCAGAGTTTCACTGTTCACAGGAGAGCCAAAGTCACAGTTCATACTCGATTATTTTAGTAACAGATTCTACTACAAATACAGCATTATATTGCTTATAAAAATGCAAAAGTAGATTTTTAGTCACAGGAATCTTTCCGAAAGTTAAGAACTAGGAACAGATAAAAGGATGAAGGACTTAAAAAAAAAGAAACCAAAACAACCTCAACAACTTAGCCTGAAGTTTATGAAGACAAGAATTTCCATGCCAAACCAGTTACTGTTTAATTTGATCCTCTCTTGGTGGCTGTAGTGTTGGACACTTTTCCCAGAGGATACAGGAAACCCCACTGGGGAGCTCTAGGACAGTTTGTTCTCTTTGAGAGGTCATTTTTCTGTTCTGCTAAGTTAGTCTTAACTCCAGTTTCTGACACCATAACAATGTTAGACATTGCCTGCTAAAAACTTGTCTTTCAAAGACTGGTTCTTTAGTATCCTCTCTTTTTTGTGTGCTGAGTGAAGTTGTTCCCTATCTGCAGCTGAATAAAAGACCACAGGAGATGTATCACCTTGAAGAACACACTTAATCTCAACGAAATATAGAATGAAGGAACAGGAGAATTATGGTGAACATGGTAATAAAACTGGAAGAAGACAACAATCTCTGCCAACTGGAACTACAATAGTGATGTCAGGCTGGCTTTAGACCGTCACTTGAGCAGCAAATATCAAGGCAAATTAAGGCAGTTTCTTGGACACTGACATTTTAGTACATCACTTTATACAGAGATGGGCCATCAAATATTGAATTAAACAATTTCAGCTATTTTTGTGAACTGAGAACAGCTAAAAACCATTTCAGAAGTGGTACGTGCTGTTTCATACATCGGTTTGGGTGAGGATGTCAGTTCTTTCATAGGGCTCCGCTCTCGTGGTGGGCTTATCTTCAGAAACAGGCTCTAAAAGCTGAATGGGAAAGAAGCGTAAGAGGCAGCACAAAATCAGCACTAGGTTCGTAATGTATAAAACCGCCCCTCTCCCTGCAGTGAAACTCCCGGAGTGATAAGCATGTATACGCTGCGAACACCCACCCTCGGTGCGATCGGAAGGCGCCTACCCGGAGCAGTGCAATGGCTCGGTCTGGTCTGTGCACAGAGCCAGGGAAGCCCCAGCCTCGGGGCTGCTGTTCCCCAGAGGAGCGGGCTCCTGGCTGCCGCGGCCGGCTGAGGGCGATGGCTGCCAGCGCCAGAGCGGAGTCTCCTTTCCCTTTCACCCAGCGCCTGCCCGGCCCCACAGAGAATCCCCCGGTCCCCGCAGGCCCGGCCCTACCTGCCAGAACGGCGCTGCCGAGGGGTACCCGTCTGCCGGTGGCCTCCAGGCCCGCTCCAGCGGCTGCGGGGTGCCGGCCGCCCGGGGCGCGTTGTCCAGGCTGGAGAACGGGTTGCGGCGGGCGGGTGCGCAAGAGCCCCGCGGTGCCGCAACGCATGGAGGGGGAGCTGCGGCGGCCGGGGGCTCGCTCCTCCTCAGCCGTTTGCGCTTCAGCCGCAGCACGGCAGGAGGCTTCTTGAAGCCGGGCGAGTATCCGGGCACGGTGTGTGCTGCCATGGCCGGGCGGCGCGGGGCGGAGGGGAGGGGAGCGGAACGGAACGGCCGGGCGGGAGCCGATGTCCCGGCTTGGCGCGAAAAGGGGCGAGCTCCGCCCCTGGGCTGTACTACGGTAACACGGCGGCCGCCGCCATATTTCCGCCCCCTGAGGGCGCCTAGCGGTGACCCGGTTACCGCGGCCTTGCTGTGCTGCCCACCCCGCTTCGGATGGCGAGCAGTGAAAAAGTTACTGCTAAAAACCGTAAACGCATTTCCGAATGCATTCTGGGCCCAGCCTGAACGCCTCTCCAGTCAGGGACTGGGGAAATTGCCACATAGCTGCATCGGGACAAAAATCACCTGCGCAGATGCTAGATCACAGCTTCCATTGCGTGAAACGTGAGACTGAGTGCACACTGTGCAGAAAACTAGTTCTGGGGGTGAATCGTGGTACTGGCGAGGGCACACGCTGGGCTATTTTACTTCAGACTATATTGGAGAAAGGCACCCATGCCCTCACCACAAAGAAAAGGCAGTAGCTTTCAGCCCATGCTAGGCAGATGATCTTTTCTTTCCAAAATACAACTCTGAAGGCCATTAAATAAACTAATGCTGGATTATTGATATATTGATATAATCCAGGAACAAATCCGGTTTTGAAGACACCCTTAATGGCAGTCTGTGTCTCACTGAACATTACCTGTCTGTGTGGGGCCTGGGCTCACCACAGCCGAAGCATCATTGGCATAACCTGGGCAAAAGCCTGAGCTGGCACAGCTCCTGGCATGCCTCTCACCATTACCAGCACCATAAGAGACCATGGGCAGCTTCACGGGGCTGTCAGCCATGAAGCACATGCCATTTTCTTGTCAAAGCTACAAGGGAACCTGGCAGCCTTTGTCCCCTGAGCTGGGGAGCCTTGTTCTCACCCTCAAAACAACTTTCTGCTGTCAAGGGATGTGCAAAAGAGGAAGCAGTTTCTTAGGAAGCCTCATGAACACTCTTGTTCAAGCACACACAACTCTAGAGCTAGCATTATTAAAGAGCATTAGAAAATGCTGACACACCTCAGCCAGCTAAGCTAAATGGACCAACACCCAAAGTACGAGACATTTGCTTCATAACCTGATCCAGCTGAAACACTAAGACCACTTCAGAAACAGCTAGCCTTAGTCCATCATATGTAGAGTTCAAAAGACATTTATGTATGTAGTTAGGAACAATGTATCTACTGACAAAAGATCCAATAAAATATATACTATAAAAATACTTCCCCTGTAGTTTTATCAAGCCTTATTTTTAACTCCGATTTTTGCTTCCTCTGGTCTACTTTATTTGGCAAACTATTTTTTATTATTTATTTTATTTATTATTATTTTGCAAACTATTTTATAGTTTTACTATATAAGCAAAAATGAACAACATCAGGAAAAAACAAGTAGGTGGGTACAAAGCTTCAGAATGTCAAACTAACACCTGGGATTCACATGCTTTAGATGTGCTAGCATCCATTGTTTGAGCTATGCACACAGCAAAAACGAGCAGCACAGCTGAACAGAAAAAGTAGTTTTGCTGTCAAATGAGAGCAAGTAGAAAGCCACATACTTTGAAGAAAAAAACCCCGCAGTTCCTTCCCTACTAATTTCCAGTTCCTTCCCTTGCTGATTTACAGATGGTCCATGGTAATGGAGAATGTTGGATAAACAGATCTGAGGCATTGGAATGGTAGGCATAGGAAAGAGGTTAAAAGAGGGAAAGTAAAAGTGTACAGCATAGGAAGGTCTAATGGAAAGACAGCAAAGATAACATTACTCTGACTGGATGCATAAAGTGCCTCAAACATCTGAATGACACGATCGTTTCAGCTTATGGACTCTAGATTTACTGGGTTTACTCCCTGGTTGCTAAAATGAAGAAAATCATCTGTGTGGGGAAGTCGTACTGTCAGTACCATATCCTTACCCCTCTAGCATCCTTTGCCAATTCTGATGGTTTTGCCTCTCTTTCAATTAAATAACAATTCTAAATGTGGATTAAAGACTAAGTGTACCACAGAGAGTGCTCAGTCTCAATGCAGTCAAAAGAAAAGGGTAAATATAAAGGTGACTATTAGTAGAGGCTGGAGATGGGAGGACAAATAAATCTCACCAGATTTTTTTTTTTCCCTTTCATTTCTTATGTTTGAAAAACAACAGCAGCTGAGTTTGCCTGCAGATATTACTGACATTTGTAATTGGGGCAGGGCAGACAAGATCTGTATGTCAAGACAGCCTCTTCAGAATTTGCTGATGGGAACATTCTACTCAAGTTAATGAAAAAAAACAACCAACCCCAAACTCTAAAGTCACAGGATTCTCAGGACAAAAGATCTAAATTCCAGTTACAGAACTATTTGAAAGTGTACACAAATTTACTTCTCAAATACATTACATTTCTTCATCTTCCACAGGCTTAGAATTCAGGAAATTGTGTGTGTCAGAACTGGATGACTTGTCTTTTTCTTGCTTGATTCTTTTGAACTATTTCCATAGAAACTTTGGCTTCATACAATGGGATCGGTTCATCCAGCTGAGGCCTAAAATGGAACATGACAGAAGTGCCTGGTGAGCATGCTCAGATCAACAGAAATATTGCAGGACTACTGCTATAGACTTTACTTTCACTATGTAAACTTTACTCCTTAAACAAAATAAAAGTTTTATAGCTTTGCTTGGGTTCAGTAAAGAAGGGAAGAGCCCAAAAGCAAACAGAAAAGAGAAGTTAATGAAAAGATATCCTTCTTAAGGGGTAAAAAATAGGTGGTGGTGGTGAGGCTTTTGCTCAACAGCAATACAGTCAGACTGTAAAGGTAAAGGATCTTCCATTCCTACTTTATTACGGGAGTCTTCATACATAGTGAAGCTGTTACTCTTCTCAGAGGAGTATTAGACCCATCATCTTTACAGCCAAAACCATTTCTCAGTCAGACATGTTGCGGAGCAGTTAGATACATGCTCTTCCTCCACCAAGAAAAGAATATGCGGCCTTGGTTAAATTTTGACATACAGCATAATCATGGGATTTACCCAACCTCCTTGTGCATTAGCTTGCTGTATTACAAACAGAAATAAACCATAAACTGCTCCATACAAACTATGTGAGGCATCTTTTCCCTGAGTAACCCCCAATAAATTTGCAGTACAGTGCTGGCAAGAGTTATCTACTCTAATGATGAATTTCATTAAAAGAAGAAAGAAAATAATAAAAAAAAAATCAAATTACATCTCACCTGAAAATGCTACTTGATAGTTTCTCCATTATATCTTCTAAGATGGGTAGCTAAGAGGACTGTCAAGGTAACAACGTATCTACAGATAAATCTTTCCATAATCATGTGTGCTGGCAAGAGCCCTGTATTGATACAAAACCAGCAGGATCAAGGCAAAAATGAAAGTTAACCTTCATGCCAATCTTTAGATCACCTTTATGCACTTGCTTATATATCAGAAGCCTCCTTTCCTGAAATAGTATACAGAAATGCAATATGGAAAATAAACTTTCAAAAAATAAGGCAAAAGTGTTAAGACTGACAAATGCAGCCCACACTAGTTCAAAGTTCGTCAATCAGAATGGCAGCTGTGGGTTTTGTGTAGAATGAAGAGGACGCACTTTGGTACCAATTAACTATCCCGACTCATCATACAGACATCTGAGGTGAAAATCAAAAGAAAGTTTGGAACACAGTGAGTCTGTAAATTCATGGAGCAGCACTGTGCATCTGTAAGGGGTCTCTGAGTTAATGACTACCATTCATGGCAAAGCAACAGATGAGGCTGTATTTAGTCTTTATATGAAGCTCAAAAATTAATGTCCCTTCCTTCATTTTTAGAGCAATCTGGTTAATATTTGAAGCTCAAGTTATTTTAAAAAGCAATCACCTTGTGTTTTCTTCAGATGTTATTAATGCCATATGCTCAAGAATTTCACAAGATACACAGATCCAAAAAAACCCCCAAACCTAAACCAGATTTTTCCTTTCAACTTTAAAGCCTGTTGTGATAAAATGTGCTGTTGTTATTAAAGACACCCCAGGAGACGACAGAAGAAATATTACTGTTTAGTCAGCTTACTTTTTATGTGGATAACTACTCAGTAAGCATTCAACAAAAATACCAAACGATAAATTGATTCTTGATAACCTGCATCCTATAAACATTCACTTCGTGTGCCTGACCTTGCCTAAGCAACTTTGCAGTTTAGTGGAGGAGGGAGGACCTCCTTGCAGTACAGTTAGCTGCTTCACAAATATAATGACTTAATCCTCACCTGCCCCTGCTGTTCTGCTAAACTGCAAAAGTGATTCAGCAGATCTCAGTCTGCAGTGCAGTAAAGAACAGGGAGGGTCCTTAAAGCCATAAACAGAAAAACCTCCCAGTACTTGAAGTGATCCACTGAAAACTATCACGCCAGTAGAAAGCTCAGAGTCCAGCTGCTAAGACCAAATGTAGGTAACGCATAATGCAAATGGAGGCATTCCTCTGCCCATACCCACATCTGTGCTCAATAAATTTTATGTACATAAGATTACAAATAAAGAAAAGGTTATGAAAACAAAATATTTTAACTTTTTCAGTTAAACTGATTGCATTCAGATTTATGGATGATGCATTTACTGCCCAAAAGAACAAAAAAATCAAAATAAAAAATATCATATGCATAATATAAAAACTTATAGAATCAAATCTTAAACTAATGGTGTCAATCTTAAACCAAAATACGGCATTTTCTCCAGGATGCATGTTTTCTATTTCAGCACTGCTTTTAATGGAGCATGTGGAGACACATACTTAGAAGGAATGCAGAGGCTAGATTAAAACATGAGGGAATGTTGCATTTCTGTTACACTGTAAGCTTAACTGTGCTGACCTTTATGCCTGTCTTTATGTGACTGAGTAGAAGAAAATCTGTTAGTTGGTTTCTCAGTTGTATTTCCATCCACTTGTATCAGCAGCCAGTATTCAAAAGGACCATCGAAAGGATATAGAGATACTTCCCTTGCTGTACGTTGGACAAGTTCCATATCTCATCATTCAGAAAGGAGACAGTGGCTCCTTTAAGAAACAAGGAATGGCTGTCTGGAGGATCCAGCTATAACAAATTGAGGAACAATGTTATTTAGTTATGTTTTCCTATATAAAAATAGAGGATAAATAGTTATTTTATACAGATGGTTAAAAAAAGCCTACAAACCACCCTTGGCCCATACTGAAAACTTAGAAAACTTGTGATATTTACAGCTTTAAATGATACTTCTCTGTCTTGTCAAGCAGTTTAATACACTCAGCCAAAAACAGGTCCTTTAAAATTTGTCAGTACAGCTAAGCCATTAACATAGCTTACTATCATCTCAGAGAAGACAACCCCAAAACTGTCCCAAAAGAAAAAATGTTATTAGTGCTGTCTACTTCCCATTTTCTGGATGTGAAAATTTTCTTCAGTAAAAAGTGATGGTGTTACCAGTGAGGAACCACCCGGCCATGACCGAAGCTCACAGACACATCCATGCATGTACTGTGGTGCTAACGTTCTGATACAGTATCTTTACCTGAAGATTTTTTTCTGTTGTAATCCAGTGTCCCCCAACACCAAGAAGAGTTATGATATCATGCTTATGAGGCAGCAACTGTGATTTTGAAGTTGATTCATCTTCAGCGCTATATAATCTCACTGGAGAGGAGGGAAACAACAAAATTTATTTCAGTTCAGAAGAAAATTCGGTGCAGAATGAAACAGCCACCTCTTCCTGTACTTAAGAACACATTATCTTGGGATCCTTTACAATCCTGTGTCTTCAGATACAAAAGAGATGGAATATATGCACATGAATACACCCAATGAAAGACACCTGTCTGGAGCACCACTACAAATAGATTACGCTGCTAGTCATGTGAGAATATCTGAGAAAGTAGACGATTTAGGAAATTCAATATATATTTCTTTTAATACATTTCAGTGGAACTCTAAGTTCTTCAATTATTTCAGCTAAAAATAATAAGCAGAAGTTTCAACTATTATGGCTGCTTTAGAATACAGGTTGACAGTACTGGTGACTATGGCATAATGTTTGTATTAAAATAAGGTAGCATAAACAACGATGTCACAGCTCTACTCTTTAAACACATTTTTTTTCCTTTTCAGTTTTAAATATAGGAAAAATTCAGACAAATTTAGCAATGACTGACAGTATCAGACACTTCCTCTAGAGGGTGATATGAGGAGATCTTAAGGAGATCATGCTTAAGCAAACCTATTGAATAAAGAAACGTACATGAAATCGCATGGGAACAAGCAAGTAAATGTAATTGTTTGAGGTGATGCAGACTCCACCTATATTACCTGGAAATTCTACTACTACTACCACCACCACCACCACCTAATAGTGCTCTGAAGACCAGTTTTTCATCTGTTGCATACCTCCAGCATCTAGAACAATATCCACTCCCAGGCCACCCGTCTCTTCCAAGCAGCTCTCTGCCACATCAATCTTGCCATTTGACACATCTATCACACGAGCTAGAAAGAGAAGCACATTTGGTTAACTACAATAAAAAATGCAGAGTTCACATTCAGAGCAGAACAAAGTTTCTAGTTACTGAAAGTATGACAAGTTTGCAGCCAAGTCAAAAAACCCTAAATAGCTATTAGCTTAATGCAGAAATCAAACTCACAAAACTGTTTAGGCCAAAAAGAATAAAGTATGCCATGACAAGAATTAGAAAACCGTCTGTAAGTTCATGATTTGCTATTTTTTTCCAAAAGCCTCTTCAAAAATAGCAACTTCTGGAGTGACTAGCCATGTTATTGAAGCAAAAGAGTGGCCAAAAGATAAGGAGGGACCTTATTTCACATCTCCCAACTTTCAAATTTTCTATCAAATAACCATAGCAGTAATGCTTTGGAAGTTTTCCAATCACTGTTTTTTTCCCTTACTCTCCATAAACCCCACCACTTCCCACTCATCCCTCGCAGAGCTCTTCTCTTGCTTCCGTATCACAGAGGAAAACAAAAACCTATTCTCTCTTGTATGGAGCCCTGTCTCACAGTACAAGTCAGAAGTAAACACGTAAAAGCAAAAGAAATTCAGTCACTTGTGAGGCAACGACTTGACGTTTCTTATGATTCCAGCAAGTCTGTCATTCTTATTATATCTATCTTTTCTTTAAAATAATGCTTAGTAACCTCATTATTTATCTCACAGCATGGATAAGCTCATTAATGTATTACTTTGTGCATGATGTTTTTAAAATAGCCCTCTGGGTCATAAATATTTAGATAAAAGTCTTTACATCTCTTCTTGAAATATTTCTGAACTGAAAGTCACTAATACATTTTCTTCTCATATATCTGTAATACCATATTTATAGATGGTTATAGAGATAAACCGTGGAATCAGGAATAACTAGGGCAGAGAAGAAGCAGCTAAGGTTCTTAGGGCTTTAGTTTTGGTTTATAATTATAAGGTAAAACAAACATTTAGGAACTAAACAGACCAAACACATCTTAGCAAAATGATAACTGAAACAATGTCAAATTTGGAAGCTCATTTCCCAGGCACAATGAATTAAACTCAAATTTGCAATCTTTACTTACCCACTAAAGGCTGCCGTACACCTTCTTGAATTTAATCAAAAGGGTGGGAAGGAAGAAGAGAAGAAAAACGGTGAGAAACCAGTCATTAAGAATATTAACAAATACTCAGTTAATGCTTTGGGGTTTGTTTTTAATCCCCCTTTGAAACAAATCATAAGATGCGCTCAGATTTTTAGGTCAATCATTCAGGTTTTTCACTGAAGTCAAACTATGTGGCTAAAGATAACAGACATGGTCATAATTTAATACAGATGTCACATTAATTTAGTAATGATAGTCACATTTCCCGTATGCAAATAAAACCCCACAGTATCATTTTCTTATTAGTTTCTCAGTCAAGAAGTTAAAAAGCTTTTCTTAACATGGCAATTTGACATGGTAAAAGGTTTCTGCAACTGATGTTACTTTCTGAGAATAATTCTGATTTACAGACTCAAAGCCTGACTATCAAATTAAAAGGCAATAAGTTTAATCAGTTTGACTATTTCCTGATTCCTGTTTAGCAAAGATTTTCAGTTTTGTTACTTGAGTCAATACAGTAATTTAAACTGTACTCATCAAAATCCTGTTCAATTTCCTTCCTAGCAAAAGGCTGTAATAATCTCTCTCCACTACGGAAAAAGCTGAGCAATAAATGATAATCTAATTTTCTATAATCCTTTGTCATTTATGCAAAATTTCTTGCAAAGAATTTTAAAATTAGTTCAGTTTCTTCTTGCAGAACTTTTAAAGTGACGTTATTCTGACCAGCAAAAAGGCTTCAGTTTCTCTCCTCTTTCACTGTTGGGGAGAAGTAGCAATATCAGTATTTCCCCAGCGTGCTACCAGTGTGCACTCTCACACAGTAATTTCAGCTACAGAGTTTAAAAACTGTCACACAAAAGAGTTCAGATTTGCTATTTTGTTTGCTGAACAGACTCAAGCCGTGGAATCACCGACGAGTTCTTACCAGAAATGTATCCACTGAAAGCTCAATAGTGGTTTTAAAGGAAAAAAAAGGAAACCCAAACCAAACAACCAAACAAAAACCCCAACCAAATGAAAAGAGAAAAAAAAAGGTGACCTAAGGAACAGAAGAAATAGATGTGTGTGTGTGTGTATCTATGTGTGTTTTTTTAATTCTCTTTTCTAACAGAAACTCATCATATTATTTATGTAACATTCTGTTTCCAGTCTGAAACATGGGCACTAAAAGGTCAAAACTGGTTGTAATCCCCTCCTTCATACTATTATTATATTTACTCCAGAGATTACTGGAGAGATGTAAGGACCCCACCCGGTTGGCCTAAATATAAAATCCTTAAACACTAACAGGAACTTCTACTTCAGGCACTGGAATCATATTTATTAAAACACAAAACCCAAAACAAAAAACCCTAAAATGTAAGAACAGTGAGTTGCTTTTTGCTTACACACTCAAACTGTTTCTCCTTTTAATGCTGTACTCAGGTTATATCTCTTTATTTGGAGTAAAGATACAATTAACTTTTTTTCCCTAATGTTTATGTTCCACAAACATTCAGGAAAACTGCTAAATGAAACTTCTACTGTTATAGTGCAAGCACGTACATAAGCAATGTAAGTGATAGCCTTTTCACTGCAAGAGATGGTTATTTCAGCCATTTATGAAGCAGCTGGTTATGCTATACACTGATAACTCAAACTGCTGCTCATTGACAACTGACAAACTCTTTCTAAAAGCTAAACAAAGAACCCAACACTAAACAAGCACAAAACTGAAAAAGCCTCGACACACAGGCAGGCATTAGAAGCCAGCTTAGATACAGCTAGCTATGCTTGGGTTACTTAGAACGTTTGTTTTGTGTTAACATTCATAGAATGTAAAAACTCCAGCAAAAAGTAAGTAACAAAGCAACCCAAAGTCATATTCATATGTGCTGACAGGATTATGATAATAAAATTGCAAGGTCCTTTCTTAACTAATAAAGTTTTCATATCATTAGCAAGATACAACCCTAAATTATTAAAAAGCAATGGTTTAGGTCTTTTGTATTTACTCTTTCACCCTGCAACAGCTGGCATAACAAACCTCTACATAATAGAAGCATTCACAAAAATGCATTATGTTCTGATGTTTGTAATGTCTCCTATTACAGTAAAAAAGAATTCTGAGGTAAGAAAAGGAAAAACTAGCTTTTCAGAGGCCATAGAAAAATGTAGAAAAATAAGTCTGCCGGGTCTTAGAGGAAATTATGACATCCCCAGCACAAAACTTTGCGGTTCCCTGTTGAAAACTGTTAAGGTCAGACAGCAAAAAATGTCTTTCTCCCTGCTCTTGTGTAATAACCTCTGCACAGCACTCCACTTCCTGCTGCATTATCAGCACTCCAAAGCCAGTTCTGGAAGAGCTAAATACACACTTGGTAGGCTGGAAGTGAATCACTCCCCAACACTGCAGATGTGTGTGAACATGCAGCCCCAGAATGCATTTGCACACTGTGTTGTCTCTGTGCTTCCACTGCCAGTTCTGTTCTTGGGAGCCAGAAAGGAATTAAAATTGACAAGAACTCTGTTCTCTCTGTGTCTAAAGAGCAGCTCTCTGGCTTATTTCATCCCTCTTAGCTTACTATTCTTGAGCCAGCAAGGGAGAACACAAGGACAATACTATGTGCACCTGCATATCAGCAATGCCTCATTTTAGTGAGTCACTAAGAAGAAGAGAGGAGATTTGAAAACAGCTCTAATTCTCCATTTGGAAAGCAAAGATTGCTGACAATATTAAGTGGAAAAAAAACCAACAAAGGAGAAAGGAGTAAGAATGAGGGACAGCTAACCTTGATACTAACTTTTTAATCAGATCTCTCCTTAACCCATATATATTTTTATTGCTGCAACTGTAATGCAGTTACAGTATGTTGATGTGATAACTGACTACAGAATGCTTTCCCCTAGAAAATATTCTTACAAGAGACACAGCTACTCTTTACATATGCTTCTTTGAATGGTAACAAAAACCATACACTGAAAAATAAACTTGATGATTATGCTCTGACAGTCTTTGCATTTTGAGGAGGATTTTAAACTTCTATAGAAAAGTTCACAGACTGCAATCAAACTGGGCTTTGCAATGCTATCCTTTAAACTGTCTGAATAAAGAAATACTCTACTTTACTCCACTCTGCAGCATCGAAATAAGAAAAGGTCTGTTCAGGAAGGATGCTAGTAGGTTTGTATAGTCCAAATAACACTGTTACTTTCAGGGACACCACCCTTCCCCTTCAAACTTAAGTATCAAAGAGAAGAAATGGAAAAAGTCATAGATGAATGCAAGTATTAATGTCTAAAACAAAGCTCATTTAGGACACAGGAAAATGCAGAGACTTTGACTATCCTGTCACAACAGCTACTGTTATGACAGTACTTGAAACAGAGCTGCCACATAGCTTGACAAAATACTATTAGAAGTAATTTGAGTCTGATGAATACTGTATCTCAAGTATGTGATCGCACCTGAACACTGGCTCAGGTACCTAGATTACATAGTGTGATACTGGTGCTTTAGTAATGCTTTCTTCTTGTTCACAAGCAACGAGTTTACAAAAAGACTTCTGAGGTAGTTAGGCCAAAAGGCAGCACTCAAGCACTATAGAAAATAAGAAGAGAGACTGTCATTACAATTTAAGTGAAGAATAAAAATGCCATTAAATTCACCTAAACCAGAAATTAAATACCTATGGAGTACAGAATAAATGTCAAAACTATTTCATTAGACTATTTATAATTTTGTGTTTCAGTTTGCAGCTACTTGAAATAAGTCTCTACACTAAAAAAAGTATTTTGAGACATTCTTCAGTGTAAATTTTAGCCCTGAAGAATATAACTTACCCACAGGAGGTCTGAGCCTTTCCAGGTGCTGCTTATCTTCAAGACTGTATGCAGTAGAGATTACTTTAGCTCCTCTGTGTTGTGCTAACTGAATAGCTATTGTACCGAATGGCTGCAGAACAAAGAAAGTAGATGAATTTGTTTACAGCAACAATTTTATGCCATTTAAGAAAGATTATACTGCAAAGAACAGTCAGGAGAGTATCTCAAAATGAACTTACTCTTTCAATAAAACACATCTAAGTCAAGGTTTTGAATATTCATAGATCTGCTTCTGTTCTAAATGAAGCAAAAAAAAAAGTCTTTTCATTGACTAGAAAGCTCTGAACAAACTTTTAGTAACTACTTCTTCAACAGAGTATCTCAGGTTCCACTTTAACTAACACAGGTATCATAGCTGCAATTGTAGCTTTGGGCTTGCTTGCTTGTTGAAGGAAGAAGTGTTACCAAGGAAAAAGCCCCAGACACTTCTACATTATTGAATCTTGGCTGAGGCAAGCTCCACATCTTCATTAGCAATAAAGATTGCAGTAATGCAAAGGAAATTATTTGTATCTAAGAGAAGTTAAAAAGGGTGGGAAAGGAATAAAAAATTAAGGCACTTTCCTCCAGTTATACCTAAGGGCCTAAGGTAAAACTATGTCAATGTAAAACACCAGGAAAGAGCTACCTCTCTTCACTGCCCACACAACGTGTAAAGGACTACATTCTTGGCTCATTACCTTATGTGGGAAGGCCCTTCCTGTTAATCCATTAAGTTAAGGGTGCTGCCAAGAGTAACATATAAGGCTTGATAAATTTAGTATGTTGTAAGAAATCCAACTGTTCTGGTGATAAGGCAGTTATTTACAGCAGAGGTAATCTTTCTGATCTGAAATTGTTATTATTGCACAGTTGTTACCTACACTTGCTCCGTCCATTACAAGCACAGTTTTTCCAGGAGAGACTTGGGAAAGGTAGTGTAAAGCTGTGTATGCTCGGACACCATCACGGACAGTCCCGGCTGCTTCAACCCAACAAACTTTTTCTGGTTTACGAACTAAGTTTGGGAAAAAACAAACAAACAAGAAACAGATGGAGGGGGGGGAAGCAGCAAGTCCCTGATATTTCACTCAGTTATTTGTCAGACTTTATCAATTTCTAAAACATAAAAGAAAATTATACATGTCAAATCACCTACAGGTGTAATTATGATTATTTCACAAAGGCAATATTCCAATACTGTGGGTAATGGCAGTCTTAGGTCAGCTAACGGAGTCAAAGTGGAAAAAGGCAATTATTATTCCATGAATAATCAGTTTGCTTTTGCAGCACTCATGCGAGCAAGTTCAGATACAAGCATAGTACTTAAACAGAAAAAAAGACAGATGTGTAATTCCTGCTATAACCTCCTGACAGAAGTGATCTGAGGAGCTCTTTTTTCTGTGTCAGAGTTATTTTTGTGAAAACACACAATGCAAGTTCCAATCCACAAGTTCCTAATTCTCATTCTCTTTAGGTTACAATCTACTTCACAATCCATTGGTACAAAGAGCTTATGCACGTTGGAACATATTTCAAGAGAGATAAAGGTCAAGATAACGTTATTTTTCAGCTCTGCTTTCTGTTGTCTCTACCTACAAGATGCTTCAAAATTTTCTTATTCTATCAACATGCTCAGAAGGAAGGTAATGGTAATGAAGTACTCTATTAAATAGAAATCACAAGTTCAAACACCATTTTCTATGTAAGCGATTTACATGATTTAGCAAAGACTTTAATGCTAAGCTAGAAATTATCATAGCCCAGCTGACAGTCTGGCACAGAACTGAACTAAGCAAGCTCAGTCCTCTGGAGGGACACTACAAAGAAAATAAGGTTTGGTCTGTCGCTTTAAGGATAAGAATTGACAGGGTAGCATGAATCACGGGAGCTATAAAACAACATGAGCAATGTGATCACCTGGGATCATTTATCAGTGTGTTGGAAAAGGATTCTAGGGATCATCCCCAGCATCATCACTTTTTGTGCCAGTTCATCCTATTTAGCACGAAGTAAACTACTGTAGGTAATATAAAATCAGAAATACTTTCTGCCTGTAGTTACTGTGCCTATAGATAAGGCAGCACGGACCTCTAGATTTCATTTTGCTTGATTTGTACTTTTAAGCATTATCAAGAGTAAACCTTGTTTTTTTCCATCTCCGTAAGTCCATGATTATTTTGCAGAAGCTGTCAATAGCCAGTCAGGAGGATTTCATCTTCAAACAAGCCAACATAAACAATACTTCTTTACCTCTCATATATATGTTAAAAAACCATATAGAGGATATTTTACCATACTTTATGCAGTAAACATAGGGGTTTTGATTTGGCATAAACAAATTTAGAGGAGTCACCTTTAATTACGCAGGTTGAATTCATGGACAGGCACAGAAACAATACAAACTAATCTGAGCTAAAGACTAGCTTGTTCCAAGTAACACAACAAACCGCTGGGAAAAGCACAGAGATTCCCAGATTTAGTATCCTACACGTTAAGCACTTTATGCCCAGAAAGGCTAAACTGGAAATTCACAATAATTGAAAAAAGTGTTTCAATCCTCAGATTTCCCTGATCCTCAGTCCCTGAAAATTCCTTTCTCCACCTTCTAGTCTGCTAATCTTATCCCATCTTTTAGTCCAGTCACAACTGATATTCCTGGACTGGGTCAAAGTGAGGAAAAAAGCAAATGTCTCCTTACTTAACTTTGGGACAGATGAGGTGAAGAAAAAGCAGAAAGACAATGGAGCAACAAAAAGAGAAGTTACAAGGGGGTTAAAACAAAAAAAGCAGCTTGTGTGGTTTGGCTTAAGGCAAAACATTAACCCATTCAATCTCAATCACAAAGAAAAATCCCTTGAGAGTACATAGTATACAAAGTTTCTAGGAACAGGTGGAGTAGACACAATATCTGAACATTGCTATACAGAACAACTTTGCCCATAGCTCCAACTTAATTAACTCCCTATTAGAAAAGCTAAACTGAAGTCTAAAGGTACAGTAAATATAAATATTGGCAAGATATATAAACTACTTACCCAAGTAATGCTCATGAACTAGAATAACTTCACAAAGACCAGACTCTTCAGAATCCAGGGGCAAAATTCCTGACAAAAAATGAACATAGACTTTAAATTTCAAATAAGCATACATTATAACCAAAACAAGCTCTGAATGAAGCTGACAGTCCTGCTTGGGCTGTGTGTGGTTCTGTTGCGCCCCTGTCAGGTTTTATGACAGGTTAAGAAAACTTGGCAAGGTAATTAATAGCCTATCATCATTATGGGTGCAGTGCAAAAGATGGTTCCAAAGGTGCTCCAAGCAGCATTTTGGGGTTCGGAAGAGAAAGGATGGGGACACTACTGAGTGCTTTTTGCCACTGGCATGCTTCTTTTTTGTCAAGTCATGTCTGAACCCACTTCGCACTGCTCTCACTCTGATGAGTGCCCCTATTTCTGCTCTGGGCCGTGGCCGACAAAGAATAAAACCAAGCTCTATACTGCAGACAGGCACTAACCGAGCCACATTGCAGATACTTCTACACTTCCATCCTGGTGCCTGCACATGTGTTGTTAGCAAAGGCAGCATAAAAGGGACAAAAAGAAGCAGAGAAAGAGCAAGCAAGAACGCGTGAGTGTAAGTTTTAAAAAGCTGGAACAGAAAAGAGGAAGTGAAAGAAAAAAATAATAAATAAAGAAATCCATCCTGGTCATAAATGCTTTTTTTCCTGCACTGGAAAAGGAGGAGATTCATGAACAGTAGGTTCTGGCATTCATTCAGTCTTCTGAAGTACACGTACCCTCTATCCTTGGTAAACCCAGTATTTTCTTCCCTCTTCTTACACTCCATTTAGTGCAAAGCAAGGACTTTGGCATAAAATCCTCAGCAAATTTGGCTGCTATTTCCAGGCTTTCACAATTCCCATTAAAAATGGTTATCCTACAGTGCTTGTATACATCTGCTGATCTCTCAAGGGTTTATCTATAGAATAAAAATAATATCAAGTCCAAAGTAGCTACCTATATCAGCTATTGTGCAATTAGGAAATAATGCAAGAAGGGCAAGAATCTCAGAACAGAACATACTTATAACAACACTACTGATTCTGTCTTACTTTCATAACTTAGGTCATTCTCTAATCCTTCAATTTAGCATACAAAATATAAACCTGTGAAAGAATGTCTTAAGAAATACCTCTTCTATCTTAAAGCATCATTCAGTTTTTGACGGTTAATACAATATCGTCTTTCAAGTGTTAAGAAAAATATCCTTATAGTAAACTAAAGTAACCTTAGCACCTAAACTAGTTTGCATTCTAACATCAAATTATAGAAAAAGCAAATCAGAATGAATATGAAGTGATTCCTTTTCTTGACAGATGCAAAAGTTCAGGAACAAGTCACATTCGCTCCTAACACTCAAGACAGCCTCCAAGGAGTCATTATACATTGCTGTAAACTCACATTGATTTCAGGGTCTCTAAAACCATTCACAAAAACATGACCCCAGTAATAAGGGAAAGACAGAACATCTTATGGACTGTCCTCTCAGTGCTTAGAGAAGCTCCAACATATTGTTACATGCATCAAGCATTTGCACAAATGCAAAATCAGAGTTTTCACCTTACCTGCCAGAAATACTCCACAGAGTGTAGGGCTTTCATGCATTGATTATTTATGTATTCAAGAATGAGGCATCTGGCAGAACTGATAAGCAAGTGGCCAGCCACCAGCAAATCAAAGTAGGTATGTTTATATTTAGGTTCATGTCTCCAAGTATTTGTAGCCAATTTAACCCTCAGAATATTTTTGCCTACACTTATTTCAATGAGGAAAATGGCAGAATTGATGGCTAAAAGATTCCAAGAACAACAAAGAAAACTGACTGTAACTTTGAAAGGAAGGCAAGAATGTATCTCAAAACAAAAGATTTTTGGCTGGTCCGAGGTTTTACTACTGTATCATTATGTATAAGAGAATACATTACATAAACAAAGAAATCTCCTCTGGAAAATTAAAGAAGGACCAGAAAACATTTGAAAGTGAGAAACAATACCTGGCCTGATTTTAGGAATAGATTTAATACACCAGGAAACTCCAGTGAGCACAGAACTACTGTTATACAAAAAGAGATTCATAAATAAGAACCATATTACCATATTATTACTGTTAAACTCAGTAAGGAGTATATACCAGGACTATACCCTTTGATAAAAGGACAGGCTTTTTTTTTTGCAAAATTCAAGTAGAAATACTTTCCTGACAATTGGGTATTTTGGGACCGTTTGACATTATTAAACACACAGCTAAGCAGACCATTTGGCAATAACTCATTGTCTTTCAGATCTGCTCACTCATAAACTCATATAAACTCAGAGCAGTAGTACCTGGGAAGTGTGCTCATTAGGAAAGATTTACTATAATAGAAATGTTTCACTCCTATTTTTTGTCTATACTGGATTCATAAGGTTGAACAGCTGTTTGAAAGTAAATGCCATGAGATTTCAGTATTTAAAGAAGTGGGTTTTCTTTCTTTTTGAGGTTAGAAATACATAATGCTCTTTTCTTCATCTTCTTATTTCCCCATGTGTAATTCTGACTTTTCTGCATTCACAAGCATTCAGTGTATAAGAATAAAAACCACAGACAATGGAAGTCTCAGGCAAAATGAGTCTGCTTCTTTCATGACCCAAGTAGATATACTATTCTCTTAATGTGAGATTCAGTCTAAAGTAGCTCAGCTGATTCAAACTACTTATTCTATATTTGAATTAACAAGAATGGAACAAAGTTCTAAATCACAAAAAAGTCCAACCCTCCCACAGCCACTTTGGATGTCACTTATGACCTCTCAGGTCCACAGATATATTTTCAGAAGGTTTCTTTTTTTTCCTAATTACTTACTGAAACCGCATTCCTTCAGCTGCAACAGAAGGTGATTGAAACACAAATACTATTTAAAAATATTCAACAGATGCAGCATATTTCAGTGAGATATTTAACCAAATGAGCAGTACTGTTCACGATAACGATACTATTCATAGTTCAAATTCATATGCAAGACCAGAAAATGCCTTGCCATAACTGTTCTACTTCATTATACAAAGCAAAGCCTCTTCTGTATATCATAAATGGAATATTAATTCCCAAGTGTAAGGATTATACCTTTTGTAGTGAACAAGTAGTAACAACCACACATCTTATTCCATTAGATTTAAGCTAATGATGTGAAGGACCTGCAAAATTTTGACCAGGAAAAGAAAAGCCCTAAACACTTTCAGTGTGACTTTTTACCTGGAAGTTTGTTTAAACAACAAACGAAAACAGTACAGCAACTACCACTTGCCTTTCTGATGGGCTTCTCTGACAATAATGTCATAGCAGGATCATAAAAGCACTGGTTCCCTGTGGTTAAGTTAGAGGAGAAACAAGTCTGCTTTCTACAACTCCACCAAGCAGTAAAAATGAAGGGTCTGGAAAATGAGCAGCTTGAATCAGTGCTTCTTTTTAAATGTGGTCCTGAGTATGTGCATTGCTTTTGGCAACTCAGAAAATCCAGCAGAACTGGTGAACCTACTTGCGTGTTTAAGCTAGGACCACTCTTGATTTCTTTATTCAAACAGGAATTGACATGACTTAGAAGAAACTGAACAGTCTTCAGTACACTTGAAGAAAAGATTCATTAGCAGTTAAGATTGTATTTTTATATCATTCTTAAGAAGCCAGGGAATACAAATCTGGACTTTGCATTATTGTCTGCATTACTGGTGACTGAAGTAGCACCACGACAGACTGCATTAGCCAGGGACCTGAACTTCCAGTCTTATAACTAAAAAGCTTCCTTAAGAGAACACTTTTAGAATAGAATTCTCATTTAGAAGAGTTTATTCATGTGACACTAGTTGAATCTTTGACACTATATGTCTAATTGTAGCTTTAAAATGATTATAACCTCAACCATTCATTATAAAAAGATTACTGTGTTAGTTGATAAGGCAAAAAAGCATTAACTTACCTACCACTTCATCATCGGGCTGAAAAAAGGTCACCTTTCTTCCAACTCATGAAGAATACACGAAAGAAGGAAGGAAAGCATGAAATGTTTATAGATGAAATTGAACATGCATTTGAAAGCACTGTTTATCACTAGCTCACAAACCTCAAAATATACCCTGCTAGTGATTTTTTTTTTCCTATTAAATATGCACATACCAAACCCAAATGTTTAATTCACTAAAGTCTGGCACCCCATCCACAAACAGTTACATGCAAGCACACACACGTACATGTTGTTGAAAGATCCAGGCTTTAAACTACACATCAAAGGTGGCTATGCCAGTGAAACACTGCAGAAATTCCTGAATGTTACTTTGTCTTCACTATTCCAAGGAATGATTTTTATAAATAAATTAAAGATTGTTACAGCATGTGCAGAGGAGATCTTAAAATCTCTGTACATTTTATTGAGAAAGCTCACATGCACTTTTTTTTTTCCTTTTTTTAATTGGTATGCAGGAATTACAATTCAGTTCCTTTTTTCTCCTTACTTTAATTTAAGGATCATTACTGATTTGGGGGAAGCCTCATGAAGAAAGCATGAAGTTCCTACTGTTACAGGAGTATCATACAAACAATGTTTATTTGTTCTGGATTACCAGACCTTAATTCTTGCTCCATACCCTCACAAGGCAATTATACAAACTCACCTTCCAATACAACTCCAGAAATTTCTCGACCAACAGGCAGAAGCTCCTTCTCCAGTTTTATTTCTGATAAAAGCTAAATGAAAATAATGGTTACAACATTCTTACTAAGGCTTGAAATTTGCATATTTATTACCATCTTGCAGTGTCTGGTATTCACAGTAAGGAAGTTGGGCCATTACCAAAATGTTATCTGGGAGAAGAAAGTACACACATTCCTCATTCAATATTAAAACCTTTGCACTGATTTTCTGAATTTAAATTTAGAAGCATATAAAAAAATAAACCCAGAGAGTTATTAACAGGCAAGCCAAACTGTGACTTAAAGTCAGTATGCAGAGGATGATAAAAGGGATTTACTGTAAGAGAACTCATAAATGACAACTGATCTTTCTCCATAAATTAGGAACTAAATTACAGGTGCTTTTTATTTAGAGAGATATAAGAGAGAGATATGCAAGAATACCACATCAATCCTGTGCCCTCCTTCTCAGCAGTAAAGCCATATCCTCAGATGGCATAAATGGAATTGTGCCCATTACCAGCCAGAGCCCTGGCTTAGATCTTCAGTGGAAAATGTAAACACCTCTAGCTTTTAAAAAATATAAATAAGCAAATACCTTTGTATCTATCCAGCTCAGTGCACAGGCTCTAACTTGCACTTTCACATCATTGTCTCTTGTAGGAGGAAGGTTTTCCTAGGACAAATTTTCAGACATTACATTATACAATGCAAAATGAATGTGCTAGTAGGATTTTTTCAAGCTCTTGAAAGCACTTTTCCACAGAGTCTTTGTTTTAGATTGTTTTGTAGTCAGAACAAGAATTTATCTTTTTTCTTTTTTTTCCTCAATTAAAAGAGAACTTATATCACAATGGATTTACAACACCATTTTGAGTACACAGAATCATGGAATGGTTTGGGTTTGATGGGATCTTAAAGGTCATCCAGTTCCACCCCCCTGCCATGGGTTTGGAACACACAGAAAAGTGTTCTGCCAGTGAAGCCTCCCCTAAGTACTCCAACTTTTGGTTTGAGGATTAATATCTGAAATTATTTTAAGTAGCTGAATACTGCTAATTTAAAGTATTTCATTAACCAAGTTGAGTTCTGGACTGCGGACTCCATACTGCTGTTGAGCTACGTCAGGTCCTGGAGGCAAAATCATGTTATTTCCACGTCACACTGTAGTCTGCAGTGTAGACATCTGTTGAAGTTAAGCAGTTAAATCACCAGAAAGTCACAAGAGTGCTTTGTTTCTGCTTCTGAAGTTTAGATGTATTCCTAAGTGCTTAAGATTTCTTTGATTTTTTTTTTTTAACTCTTCCAAAGAAACAGCTGTTGCTTTTCTCCTAGGCTTCGCAACATGAACAGTAACCTCTATCCAAGGAATACCGAGCTGAACTTTTTCTCACCCCAGCTGAGTTAAACACATGCTGTTCCTTTAAAACTGCAAGGCATTTTGCCAGACTGACCTCCTCCTTCTCAAACAAACCAAAATGGGTTCTCTTCATTCCACAAAGCAGAAAAGCCAGAAAAAAAGCCAACAGAAAAAATGTTGAACTATACAAATACAGTATTAGGTAAAAAAAACAAACACCAAAACCAAGAAACAAACAAACAAAACATAAAAAAAACAAACCCCCCACAAACCCCACAAAAAACCCAACCCAAACCAAAACAGCAACAACAAAAAAAACCACCCCTAAAAACCAAACCCAAACCAACAATCCCACCCCCCAAGCCCCAGATCAAAACCTCCAAGAACTTAGAATTTAAAGGACTTGTGTAGCCTATGTAAAGATAAGGTTATATTGTCTTTTGGACCTATGCTTTTGGTAGAATGCACATAATAAAACTGCTTTTCTTTATAAAAGAATATAAGTCTTAAGAGCAAAAAGAGATAATGTAATGTCTGTGCTGTTAACTGGCTCCTGCCTTCATAACTATGGCATTATTTAATTTATGGTGCTTGGTTAATTTAGCAATTAACCAAGCCCCATATAAGGAAGGTTTGCTATGGAAGTTCTTTATGCAAGATACTGACTTTTTGTTATCCACCGTCTATTCTTCTAAAGTCTCCTCAGTCAACTAGCTTTCCTATTTCTCGCTTTTGTCAGTATTTATTTCTATTTACAATGAGGATTCCATAGTGCTGGTCATTACACAGACACTTGCAGAATCAGTTCCTCTCTGAAAAGATTTAAATAGACAAGTAGGCAGCCAAAGTCTATGCACATGAATGCAGTTTCGGGATCTGCTTTAGCTTACCAAAGACTGTACCAGAGCTGCCTGGCTCACTTGTTGCCAACAGCTATGTATTCCTATCCCTTTCTTCGTGTTGGAGCTAGCAATCGTGGAGCGATAATGATACGAACTTGTAAGAGGTACCTGGATAAGTAAGCTGATCCATCTTTCCTTACAGCTGCATGACTCATAAAACCATTACAAGGAAGAGAATGAAAATGTGCTGCTAAAAGATGAACAATTTTTTTTCAGCAAAAGGGCAATTCTATAATCAATTTAAGTAGATCAAAGACTGCTCCATGAATATACACCTTGGTTATATCAAAATTACCTATCTAATTGCATCCTTCTCTTCAGGCGGTTTATTAGATATGCTTCACTACTGGGACTTTACAAACTGCTCCAGCAAGATTCTCACCAGTGCTATATTGTTTCATTTATGGCTCATAGGTATATTTAGGTATCTATATCACACAGGTAATATACATAGGTATATTTAGGTATCTATATTACACAGGTATACATAGGTATCTATAGTAATTTATTTTGTACCTATATTAAAGAATACAAATTCACATCCTCAAAACCATGTAAGAGTTTTTTCTACTGTTCAGACACCCACACTGCATCAATATACACTCACTGACATCCTATTTTAGGCTTATGCCACAGCTGATGTATACACACTTCCCCAGTTAATGGCTACATCAAACTGACAAAGACCCTTAGCACAACAGTTTCAGCTAAATTTGACAGAAAAATAGTTACCTTCTTGTTGTTTCTTTAAGTTGTGGGAAAATAGGTAGGTTAGATAAAAGTGACATATTGATGCCTCTCAGAATAAGGCTGCACTGTGATCTGAATCCTCACTAAAGGCAAAGCACTCGCAAGAAGAAAGCAATAGTAGAAACCCTCCAAACACAGTAATTTTCTCAAGCTATAATTCCATTTTTTCAGAGGTCAGAAAATCCAACCAGGAGATGGAAAACCATATGGAGCCAGAGTACATTTGTTACACCTGCAAAACTTGTTCTTGAAACATGGACACCAATACTGCAAGAAATCCAACACTGGTCTTGCCAAGTGCTACATGAGGATGGCAAAATACACCTACTTTCATTTACCTGACTGTGTGCAAAGATTACACTACTTCTTTTTTAACTCTACAGAAGAATTAGCTGTTACAATTCCCTTGTGGTATTCAGCCACGCTCTTCTTCCACTGAATGATTAATAGCACTATTATGATTGAAACTCACTCTTTCCTGGAAGACAAATGTAATTTCCTCTCCAGGTGAATTCTGCTGACCATACAAGGCCTTCATAGTGACCTGAAAAAAGATACAGAAACCAAACTATAACATGTTTGGTATCTATAAGGCAAACAGGTTACTAAAGCTTTATATTACTTTATAAGCAGAACAGTAATTGTTTGCAAGCAACACAGGGCCTGTTAGTCCTTCAAATATATAAGATCTAAACCAGATCAACAGACAAAGCAAAATATATGGTGTTACATACAACAGGTTACATCAGTATTGTTGACCATAACACAGCAAATCTTAGGGTCTGAGGATCTACAGCAAAAGGCAATGAATGATACACAGGATTTAACAATTAGTGGTCCAACTCAGCAGATCGGTTGGTTGCCACCCAGGCTGCAAGGCATACAATTTGACTAGCTCAGACAAAGGCAGTGCAAAGAGCAATATAACCAGCAGGTATATGACGACCTTTATGTATAACTTCACTAAAAAGCACAACTTGGGGTTTAGGTCTCCTCTCCCAAGTTGGCATGTGTGGTCCTCAACAAACAAGAACCTTCTGGAGAGAAAAACAAAACAAAACAAAAAAAGTAAGAAGAGGTCTCCAAGTCAAAGGAAAACTAAAAGCAGAGACCAGAGAATCAGAAAACCACACAGCCATTACATTGCTTCTGGCAGCACTAGCACTTCGGGGGACGCTCAGTGTTGAGGAGACGGCCCCAGGCACCTCGCCTTTCGGAGAGCAGCGCCGCAGTCGGGACTCGGCACAGCCCCCGCCTGCCCCGCAAGGGGCCCCAGGCTCGGCAGTGCTGGACCATTTCGCCTGGTTCCCGGAGCGCTGCGGGCCCAGCACCCCCAGATTCCTCGAGTGCAACCGCCGAGAGGCGCCCGCTTCCCTTAGTGCTACCGGCCACGCAGCCACCGTTATTCCGGTGCTTTACCACACTGCAGAGCAGCTCGGCGACAGGGAGAGAGCCAACGCCCCGGCAGCGCCCGCCTCTGTCTCCGCAGCAGACCCTGAGCGCCCATCGAGACGACACTAACCCGAGGCGGGACACCCAGCCTCCCTCGCCTCGGGTTCTACAGCGGAAAGAGCCCCCGGGGCCGCGACAACACACCAACAGCCCCCAGCAATGCCGCCACTCCGCGGGCCGCAGTTGCCATGACAAACCATTACTTCCGCCGCGCTCCCACCTCGGCGCCCTCCGGAGAGCACAAGCACCGCCCCCACACCCCGCCATCCACAGAGATCCTACGTGAGCTCATGACTGGAAGCTGCCGCCGCCAATGGGCATAAAACATAGGATTGGCTACAGCGGCTGTCACTCGTTACAAGAGGTGGGAGCAAAGACCCTCTTTCCCGCTTCGGCTGCACACGAGACCACGAGACTACGAGACCCAGCAGGCTGCGCGGCGCTTCCCTCCCCGCGGTGGAGTAGAGCGTCCAGCAGCTGCCCTGGTGACCTCCTGGGAGCAGGGCAGAAAGCCAGGACACGGCCGCTGGGAAGGGCTGAAGAGGGTTAAAAACACCGCCTTGCGTTACCCCTATGGTAAATAAAGGAGCCACCCGTCCCCGCAGGCATGTCTTGCTGGAGGCGAGGAGGGAACTCCTTCACTTCATCACCCCCACACTCCAGCTCCTCTCCCTGCGCGCTGACCCCTCTCTGGGCAACGAGCGCGGGCCTGGCCGAGCCCGGATTGGCTGGAGAAGGCCGCGTCCCAGCGGAGCTCCGTGCCTCTGATTGGCGACACCCGCTTGCCCGTCTGGCGGTGGGGGCGGGAAGGAGGCCGCGGCCGCGCGTCAGTACGGCGGCTCTAAGGGTGAGCGCAAGCCAGGGCTCCTCCTCCCCGCCCCGCCGCTCGCCAGACGGTGGCTGAGGAGGCAGCGGGAGGGAATGGTGCGTCTGGCGGAGGCGGTGGCGGACGCCACTCCGGCTCCTCCATCCCCCCGCCTTCGCCATGGGTATGAGTAGAGTCCCCCGGCCTGCACAGATATGAGGTACTGCCCAGCAGCGGCGGGAGGGGATGGTCGGGAGAGGAGGAGGGAAGGGCACGACGGTTCACCTCAGGCCAACGGCGCCCGGCAGACACCCGCGGGGAGGGGGGGACGGTGGCTCCCCTATGGCCCCCGCACGGTACCGGCGGGCGGGCGTGTCCCCGATGCCTGGGCCCCCTGACAGGAGCCGCGTGCCCGGCGCAGAGCGAGGCGTCCCGCTTTTCCTCGTCTCCCGCGGTTGCCGCGGTCGTGGGCGGCCCGGGGGTGGGCGCAGAGCCGTGAGGCGGGATGCGCCCCCCGTGCGGGTCCGGCCCCGGCGGGCTGTGTGTGCGCGCCGGCTCTGCCTTCCTCTGGCTGCCCTTTTTTACACTATTATCCTTGCTGGTACCTCCCCGGGGTGGGTTTCGCGGGTGCTGTTTCGCAGCGACGGTTTTGTGGGTAGAGGAAAACGGGGCGATGCAGGGGGGGGACCACCCCGGTTCGTGTGCGCTGGCTCGGTGGTAGCACAGCCCTCGCCGTCACAAGACAGGCATCGCTCCCCGGAGGCAGCGGTGTCCCGGCCATCCGTGGCCTCCGGGGGATCTCGGACGTGGAATGTAAGGGGCGGATTGTGCGGCTGAGGGTAGAGCGTTTCCATTTGCCGTGTTAAATAACAGTTATTCCTTCTGCCTCTGTTCTCTGTGCTCTATGCACCTTCTACGCATATGGTCTGCCCTGGTGCGAAGGGAAGGAGGAATGCTATCCTTTACAGCCTGAAAAGGGCGCACGACCAATTGAAAGAGGGAGTGTTGTCAGGGCATCAGGAAAAGGAAACCGGTACATGGCCGGGTTTTTTGTCCCTTTATTTCTGTTTCCTCGTATTAGTAGACAACTTTGGGGAAAATATCTCCTGTGGACATCTTTTGTTCTGGTTCAGCTGCATCTTTAATTTGAAAGAAATGTGGTGTTTGGTTTTAGAAAACAGTATTTTCTTTGAGCTCTACCTTTCTGTGGGGCATGGATGTCACAATAGGGAAAACACTTTCATCGATCATTAGAGAGTATTATTTAGCAAATCTTGCTGGTAAAATAACTAGCATTCCAGATGTGGTAGTGTGGTACTCATTGAAGCAAGATATGCTCTGTATTCCTCTACTTCTTCCCACCTCCCAGTTCTAAAGTGTGCTTTTTGTTTTGATCTTGTATGGCAATATGTATTTAAGGTAATAGGTATGTATTTTTAACAAAATATTTGAAGTCAGCCTCCAAGGTATGCATTTTTTCCTAAATCAAAAAGCTAAGCTGTGTATTTTAGGTATTGCTGACTCTGGAGAGTGTTAGACTGTGCAGTGTTATTCCACACTGCCTTAGACAACCTTTCTTTTTGTATTTTGCCTTTTTATTCTAGTCACCAGTAAATTCTCTTGATGAATGTGACCTGGTGTTGTTTTTATGCAATATACTTTTTAACATACTAGTAAATTGATTACTGAATTTTTCTTCTTGTTTTAAAATGCTCACACTGCATCTCCAAGTCCTGCTTGAGGGGAGAAGGTATAGAAGGAGGAGTACTGCATGTCAGCTGTATTCAGATCTCCAAGTACAGGAGTAGGGGGGGGTATGCTTGCTCATGGGTGATGAAGAAGTGTACTGATTGCATGTAGAAGTGCAGGTAAAGAAAACAGTTGAGTTCCTTTTGCAAACTCATAATCTAGGATATGCAGTCATCTATGTTTAGGCATGCATGTAAGTCAAAGCAGCTTGAGCCATTTTAGCTTGCGTGATTAGCACTTGTATGCGCTCACTGATTTTGGCAGCTTTACAGGAGTCATGTTTCGTACAGATGAACTGTTTCTGAACAGTTTCTACAGTGTATTGGGCTCAGACTTCATTTGAGCTGAGTGGGCTGCTCTTTGCACTTGCTGCTTTGCAAGCCACACTCAATTCTTTCAGTTCTGGTGCTCCTTCTGTAATACCCCAGTGTCTTTAGCTCCAGATAAGATCCTTTTCACAGTAGCTGTGTTTTCTTGATAATTTTCCTTTATATCCTGGTTCAGCGGAATAACTACTTAGTTACAGTAAAATAAGAATTGGTATCTCAAAATAAACCAGTGACATGCAGGGCCTCTTCTGTCTCTTGCTGCTGTTAGCTGTTTGGTGGAAAGTCTCTATGCCCTTTCCTTAATGCCTCTAATCATGCAATTAGGATAGATTTGGATTCAGGAAAGAATGTGAATGTAGCAATTAAATAATTCCAAATTATGATGTTGAATAGCCTCTTCTGATCTATCTTTGTACTGTAATTATGAATTGTAATTTTAGTTTCTAGCAGGATAATGCCCATGAAAACAGGAATATAAGAGTTCCATTTGTAGAATAAAAATCAAAATAAAGCAGGGAAAATGTAAGCAATGGCTTGAGGGATGGGGAGAAGCTCATCACGGAGAGTTATCAACTAAGAACATTTGCTTATGCTGTCTTACTAATAGAGGAGTATAAATCATAATCAGATTTGCTTGTAGTACGCATTTCAGGTGCAGGTGGCTCAGTAGTTAACCTGTATGAAGCCAGAGAGATCAGATTTTATTTTTTCTTGGTTTTACTATACAAGTAACCAAAGATTTCTTCTGCTCCTGTTGTCTGCTAGAAGCTTTGAATGTTCATTGCTATTGTATTTAATACAGCTGCTGAACTTGAAATGCCCCCTACACAGTAAGTTGCTTTTGTTTTTACTTGCATAGCATGAAATTGAGTGGTGTGGTAGACAATTAGAAATTTGGTCCAGTCTGAGATCTAATGATAAATTACTTTTGCACAAAAACCTTACTGTGAAGTGCTAAAATTTATGTTGATACAGGGAAAAGTAGTTACCCTCTTAGTATGTGTGATACAGGGCAAAAGTAGTCACCCTCTTAGTATGTATGATACAGGGCAAAAGTAGTCACCCTCTTAGTATGTATGATACAGGGCAAAAGTAGTTACCCTCTTAAGAATACGTTTTGAAAATAAGAAAGGTACTGAATTTTATTTTTTTTTTTTTATAAATTAAATAAAAGGATATAGCAGATTCCACTGATTATTTTTGGGTGGCATTGTTATGTTATTGTAGGGATGCCTTGATATTTTAATTGTGGATTGCAGTATTCAGAACTGCCAATCTTTCCTGCACCAAAACAAAAACTGTATATTTTTGGAGTGTACATGTAGATGTTTAGTTAATCCATCTGTCTAGATTGAATCCTCTAGATAGCTCTGGGTGTGTGGAAGGCATAGAGTTAGTCAGGTTTTTGATAGACCGTGCATCTTTTTTATAGGAGAGATTAGTTTCTAATTGCTGATCTTAAATGCTTTTCTACAACTGAAACTGGAATTTTTTCAGTGTCAGAGGATCACCTTCCTGACCAGAATAGAGAATGAGTGAACATTAATTAATTTTGTGTGGGGAAGAGTGAAGAGAGGTATCTTTTGTCTTTCCCAGGAAGAGAGTTTTTTCTTTTGGTTTGGGTTTTTTTCCCTTTTATTTCTGATGTGAAATGTTCATTTTTAGAGCATTCTCTTCCTTGCAATCAGTCAAAATGCAAAACATTTAAATAACATAGTATGTACTTGACTTGTTTTTCTCTTATTAAATATGTTAAACTTTTATATGTTGGACATTTTCTGTTTTCATGTGTTGTAGCTAAGGCAATTGGATTAATTCGTGCTCGTGTCATTCAGTGGTCACCTTTTCTTTTCTCTGTGAAGTCAACTTTTCATAAGCATTGCATGTGTAAAATGTGTGTCTGGAATTTAAAAGTAATAGTATTATTAATTACCTGAAACCTAAATCCCTGCTGTATATTTCTCTTTCACAGTAGTTCTCAATCTCCCTTCTCTTGCTCTGTCTCTTGTGGCTGTGTGTACCCACAGGATATTTGTGGTGACCACAGTTTTGACAGTTGAAGTCTAAATACTATGGATTTATAAGAGTAAATTTTTGTGCAGTGTCAGTCCTTGAAAATCATGGGCTTGATGGTACAGTGTAGGTAGTATTATGGATATATGTGCTAGGAGTAATATTATAGATTAGCAAGACCTAGTAATACTATTAAAATAATTCCACTGAAGACCTGTTTTCTCAAGAGTTCAGGTTTTCCTTTATATTTTGATGGGTAGCTCCTTCTAATTTCCATGGGGATTCTCTACCTAAATATCTTTTAAGGATCTAGACCTAAGGATGACTAATCTACTGTAAATGACTGGACAACAGTTTACCTTTGCATTATTTCAAGTACAGTTTTATTTGTTCCATATAAATGCACATTTTTTAAATAATAGTTATTAATT